AGATCTAATGAGAGCAGGGCCAGGAGCAACCTGTATCCCTTATTTCTTTCTGTAGAAAAGATGGCTTTGGCGAAATGATTGGAGACAGACTAGAATATTAGCTTCTGCATCTCTTGGAAGTTCTGTTCTCTGATTTTCACATTTAAGGAGGCCCTGAAATTTTTCATTATGTCTTGTTATACTTATAGGAGGAGTTACATGCTTTAGTGCCGCTATTCTTTGATTTGAGAGTTTGCTAAGGTCTCTGGATAATTCCATTTAGAATTTCAAGGGCCTATTTTATTCTAGATATGTGCCATAAATATTGAACAGTGATAATGAGTTCATGTATCTAACTTAATCATCTGAGACAATTAAATTATCAGTATGAGATAAAATACATATTAAATCTTTTTAAATGCCAATTCATATAGTTTCAGGGTACTTTAGATTTGTTAAAAGGAAACATTCATATTAAACAAATCTGGGATTTAATTCAGACTCCATTAACTTGATAACTGTGACCTGGGGCATGTTACTTAACCAATTTGATAACCTGTAAAACAGAAGTGATAATACATTTCTCATAGGCATAATATATGAGATAATATATATAATGTGCTTATTAGTATATTGCTTGAGATATATCAAGTGCTTGATAAATGTTACCTATTTTTTTAGATGTTAGCTATTATACTAAACGACATATGAATTTAATTATATGAGCCTCATGTAATTTGTCAGTATGATAGATAACATGTCTGCAGTGTGGTTGAGTTTTTATTTTTTAAATTTTTGATAGTAGGGATTGAACCCAGAGGCACTTTACCACCGAGCCACATCTCCAGCCCTTTTTATTTTTTATTTAGATATAGTCTCACTAAAGTTGCTTAGGGCCTCACTAAGTGTCTGAAGCTGCTCTTGAACTTTAAAAACCGCTTTTGAACTTGAAATCCTCCTGCCTTAGCCTCCCAAATCCCTGGGATTATAGGCATATACGACTGTGCCTGACTGAGTTTTCATTTTTAATACAATTATCAGATATCTGGCATCATATAGTCTGGGAAGGCTAATTGATATTTGGCAAGTTGAAAGTAATTCAGAAAATTTAAATGGTCTAGCATTGGTGGCTAGCATATTTCTTATGATTAGTTTCATTGTACATTGGTGGTAAGAATTATTAATTTGGAGATTCTTTAGGACATGGAAGAGGAGGAAGAGGAAAAGCCTAAAAGTAAATTACCTTAATATCAAGCTACTGATTAGTTCGATTTGCTGAATTTTTTTGTTCCATTAGTCATGACATTGCTGCAGAAGCTGAGTATCCTAAATAATTTGTGTTAAAGGTGAAAAAAGCAATGTCTACAAGGCAGAAACCTAGAGGGCCAGATTTAAAGAGGGCATCAGAGATCCTAAAGACACTCATATTTCCTGCTGCTTTAATTTCTGCTGTTATTATAGCTTGGAATGTTGATATTAATGAAGGTGAGCCCAGTAATCCTAGCTACAGCAGCTAAAGATGCTATACGTAGTAGTATCTGATTAATAGCATGACTAGAGAATGTCAAACAATTTTAAGGGAAGAATTTAAAAACATTTTGACTGAAATAGTAATTTATTTAAATTTCATTCAGTGAAAAGTTTTTGTTAAAGTAACACCAGTCTATTTTAAGTGAAAATTTATGCTTTTTTTGAAATATTATACTCTTATGGTCAAGAACTGTGAAAGAGTGTTCATTTATTCAAATGAATTTATTTTTTAACTCATTTGATCCCTGGGTTCCTGATTGTGTTAAGGAAGATTTTCAAGGAAGCAGGTCAAAGAATGGCCTTGCATCTTCAATGCAGGATTTACCTGTTCATTCAGTGTTTGGCAAACATAATGATGGAAAAGCATTTATTTTAGATCACCCCTCTCTGTATATTTCTCATATTGGGATTTTAAACTTATTTTTAGAGAAGTTTTAGAATTTTATTTTCATATCAATCATGATCTTTAAAAAAAATCTGTAAGTATGATAAGGGTAGATACCAACAAATGGTAAGGAAAAACACATTGATAGTTTTCTTTATGTTTGTTTTTATCAGAAAAGAAAGAAGTTATGCTTTATGGGTCTTTTATAATTAATAAGTAAATACATATGACTTATAAATAAGTATATATGAGTGTGTCCTCACAAATTTTTAACCAATAGGTAGTGTACGATTTAAAAAAATGTGGAAACCATTTGTTTATATAAATAACTATTATATAACTAACTTGCCATACAGTTGCTCACTTTTTTTTATTTTGAGTTGAGAGAAGGCCACATTACATATGCTTTGTTGTGTGAAAAAGTTTTTACAGGGGCTTGAAAAGAATAAAGTGTGAGAGCTGAGTCATCACATATGGTAGTCATCACATATGGCTTGCCAAAGAATATCATATTCTTGTATGAATTGGTTGTATTTTGGGGTTTTTGTTTTAATAAGATAGAAGACAACTTCTTGTTAGTTATTTGTAGGCATGTCTAAGTATGTCTTTAAGGTAAATTATTTTGGTCTTGATTTTAGCAGTGATGGATTTGATACCCATTATGTGCAGATTTAAATAATTGCTGTGGTGCTAACCTTGATAGTTAATTGAAAAATACATTTTAAGGAGTAAGTGAGATCTCATACCTGGCATTCAAGGAATGTTTATTGGCAAAAACTTACTTAAATATAAGGATCTGATTGTCTTTAACAGTAAGCAGAGGCTTAGAAATTTTGAATTGTGTATTGTACAATGTACTTTTGTGAACAGGTATTTCTTATGTTATTGAATTATATTTGTAATGTTGATGTCAAAATATAGAATGAAATTAAATGTAAGACCAGACCTGAAGCTCTTCTTTTAAACATAACAGTAGTCATTTCATTTTAGCAAAAATAATATCATCTTTCAAATAGGATTATTGTTTTTAAGAGTATTTCTAGTTTGGTAGTTTTGTTAGATTTTAATTTATAATTTTATCTTGATTCTGTAGTTTTATAAGAAGTATAGCAAACCTAAGTAGCTTACTTGCATGCATATATTAAGTACCATTATAGAGAAAAATTAGCACTTAGACCAAGTAAGAATTTTTATTTTCTACAGAAAAAAAGTTCTGTGCATTTTTTTTTTTTTTTTTTACAATCTCAGAAACAGTGAACTAGAATATGTGGTTGGACTTCTAAACCTTTGGAATCCATTCCATTTCCTGACTTTTTCTAATTTACCCACATTATTACAGATAAGATGATTTTTAAGATATATTATGTTTGATCAAGGGTCATAGTACTTATCCTGAGGCTCAAAATTATCTGCAGGAAAAATGTTGATTGAATTTATAATTTTAAGCCAAAATTACTACTTCTTTTTGGTTAATATTGATATATAGATATTAAATAATCATTTAGTTTTATAGAGTGAAATTAACAATAAACAAATGACATGGCCTTAATGTATTCATTTAAATATTGACATTTGTATATCAGTTCATTCTTGTTTAATAAAAATTATAGGATTGATAACAACTTAATGTAAATTAATGATCTTAAGATACAAAAAAAGAAAATATATTTTCTATTTTAAGAGGAATAACTTTCATCATTCTGGGAGTATGAATCAGTAACAGCTGAAGATCTGATATTTGAATGTGGCAGGATTGGAATGATTTCAAAGTTGAAATCTAGCCAATTTTCAAGAAAAAATCACAATGTTTCAATTTTGAACTTTAATGTATTTGGAACATATGCAGCAGAACATTTTCTTCTTGCTGTCTCCTGCCAAACTAATTATGTATGCCACATTAATTTTTCCCTTAAGTTTTGGAAGCACAAGTATATGGTAGAATAAAGAATTTCCTGATTCATGTTCACTAGTTTTAATGGTAGGATCAAGATAAGAAATATGTAAGAGGTATTTTGAAATTTCCTCTTAAAGAAATGATTTGCAAAAATGAAAATGTTTTATTTACTTAAAATTATTTATTAAATTCCTACTATATGAGAGGCTTTATTACTAAGGCTGTGTGACAGTAGTAAATAGGATGGATAGAGTACTGTCCCTCTGAGAGCTTATATTCTAATGGAATGATGGTGGGAGATGATGGGGATTTCAGATTCATAAATGTCGTATATAAAGTCAAACAAAATGAGTAGCTTAACTAATGGGAATGATTTGAATATCTGTTTGGAAAGAAGCTTTAAGTTTGGTCAGTAGCCCTTAAAGTGAGAAAGACTTGGCGTATTTCTGGTATAGAAAGCCCAGTTGTGGAAAGAATCTAGTGACAATGGCTGGTAGGGGCTAAAGACAGAAACCAGGTTAAATGAACTTTTAAGACCATGTAAATTATTTCAATTTTACTCTAATTATAATGTGAAAAGCTGGGAAGGTTTTAAATGGAAAAGTTTTGGCTTATTTAAGTAAGATCACTCTGGAGGCTATCAGGAGAATGAACTAAAAGAGGGTGAGACCAGGTAGGGAGATATTCCAACATCTAGTGCAGAGATGATGGTAGCTGGAATTAGGGAGGAGTGGAAATGTGTTCTCATGCCACACTGATCCCACATGCTAATGGATTGCATGCTTTGGGAATTTAAAAGTTAAGTTATTTGGAATATCATTGTTTTAATGTGAACTCTTTAAGTCTAGAGAATGTCTAATGTTACTAAAATTAAAAAAAAAAAATTAGGGAAGACAGTGTAGTTTCTTTAGCTTCCCTTGGCTATATGACATAAAGTAATCTCTTGGGAGAAAAAAATTAAGTTAGCAACTTCAAGTTCTGTGCATAAGTTCATGCTAAATTGCCCTATTTCTCTACTTTAAAATTTATGCTATGTAAGAATATGAAAAAAAAACATAATTAAGGCCCCTTTAAATATGTAGTTGAAAATTTAGTTAGTTTTAATGAGGAAAAGAACGAACATACTTGCTATATGATATAAATAAAATGTCTGTGTTTAACATTTTGGTTTTATTTAAAGAGTATATTTACTGGAACTTTTTTTTCCCCTAGTCACATTGTCCTGATGCTTGCTGATGATATGGCATGCAATCCTAGAAATCCCAAACCAGCTACAGTGTTTAGTCACAAGAATATGGAACTAAATGTGTATGGAGATGATGTGGAAGTGGATTATAGAAGCTATGAGGTAAATTGTTTAATCCAGCAAAATTTTTGAACTGATGTTATTACTTTTATGTCTTAGAGACAGCAGAAGAATACATTAATTGTCTTATTCTTTTTCTTTAAATTTAGTACCTAATTTTTGCTGAGCTTTCATGTAATTTGTCTCTGTAGTTCATATTAAAGAAATAATATGAGTAAAACTACTAAAGTATGAATGTTTCATATGTATTTCTAAGATAGGAAACTTCATATTGGCTTTTAATTAAAGCATTTTAGTGAGGTTTGATGTATTACTTCTCTTTTACAGGAAATGTTATTACTTGTGTTTTACCTTTGCTCAGCAATTTCAAGTTTAGTACTTTTATAAATATATTAATTGTGGAAAAATTGTAATGACTAACAAAACACCATATGTCCACTGCTTAGAGAGTAAACCACTTTTATTTTGCTTCCAGTGTTTTTATGCATATATAATTAAAAGTAAAATGTGTATAAAATGCTATTTTAACTATATTTTCTTCCTTTGAAATTTTTAAATTTAACAGATTATGACAGTGTTTAAATTTTGAAGTCTTTCTAGATAGTTCTTCCTCTTTTACCAGCTAACCAAAAGTAAGACACAGTATCTTTATCTTTACTGAAGCAATTCTAAAAGCATAGCTGTCTTCTAAACTGTAAACTCCTCCAGGACATAGCCTAAATGTACATTCTTTTGTACCTAGCAAGAACCTATGTAGTCCTTTGTAGATACTAAAAATATTTTTCAATGAATTAAATGTATATGAATATTTGACTTTTTATTTATTTAGATGCCTTAAAATATTGACCAAAAATATTTCTTCCTTGTTAGTCAGCAAGAGGTCCTATTAAAATTGACATTTTGCTGTCTCTTGGGCAAAATATAGATTAAACATTTTATACATACATATTCATACACATTTATGTACCCATGATGTAGAGAAAAGTCCCACAAGAAAGCTGGATTGATTTTCTATTCTTTAAAGTTATATATGCATAATATATGACTTAGCTCTTGATTTTTACATTTTACCCTCTGGAGGTTTAAATAATGCCCTCAAAGAATTCTAGAGAGCTATAAATTCCAGGTTGGGAAATGTGGTTTAAAGTGTTACGAATTTTTTGCATGTTAAAGATACTCCTCCTAGGTGTGGTGGCTCACGCTTGTAATCCCAGTGGCTCTGGAGGCTATGGCAGGAGGATCATGAGTTCAAAGTCAGCCTCAGAAAAAGCCAGGAGCTAAGCAACTCAGCGAGACTCTGTCTCTAAATAAAATACAAAATAGGGCTGGGGATATGGCTTAGCTGTTGAGTGCCTCTGAGTTCAGTCCCTGGAACAACCCCTTTCCCCCATAAAGATGCTCCTAACGAAATCCAAGTTTACATAATTCATTCAAAAATTAATGAAACATAATTTTGGGGGATGATTAATAGAACTTTTTTCATTATTTGTTATTGACTAAGTAGTTGTACATATAAGTTGCAATAATGTAACTGTACTTATGTATAAATTCTTATATTTTGTGTCTTTCCAAAGAATTACCTATTCAGACAGACTAGTAATTTTTAAGCTTTTGGGTAAATATTTTTTATTTTATTTTTACAGTATGAAGATTGAATCCAGGGGTGCTTTACATCTGAGTTATATCCCCACTCCTTTTTTTTTTCCCCCTGAGACAGGGTCTCACTAAGTTGCCCAGTCTAGCCTCAAACTTGATGATCCTCCTGCTTCAGCCTCTTGAGTAGCTGGGATTATAGGTATGTGATTATAGGCATGTGACACCACGTCAGGTGCTTTTGAATAATTTTTAAAGACAATATTTTGTGTAGTATTTAAAATTTTAAAATGAGATTTAACTTATTTTTTCTTTAAGGTATTTTTTTTTCAGGTTCCATTTCAACTGATCTCTCTCTCTCTCTCTCTCTCTTTCTTTCTTTCTTAAGGTAACTGTGGAAAATTTTTTGCGGGTATTAACTGGGAGGATCCCATCTAGTACTCCTCGGTCAAAACGACTTCTTTCTGATGATAGAAGCAATATTCTCATTTATATGACAGGTAATTTTAGGATTTAGAGATTTCTTAGTATAATATGTTGAAACTCTTTGAAGAGAAATTCATGGGCATTAAACACGTTAAATGATTTGGGGTTAAAATAGTTTTTTGTCATGTAGTTTTGTCTTCTCACGATACAAAACTATTTGAAATGACATTTGAAAATGGTATAGGTTGAGCATTCATAAAAAATCTGAGATCTGAAATGCTTCAAAATCAAACTTTGAGTATCAATGTGAATGCCACCAGTAGAAAATTCCACACTGACCTCACATGAGAAAGTAGGCACACTAAAAATAATGCATAGAACTACCTTCAGGCTATGTGTGTAACTTATACCTAAAACATAAAATTTATTTTATTTTAGACAAGGATCTTATCCCAAAGATATCTAATTATGTAGAAGCAAATATTTCCGAATCTGAAATCTGAAGTACTTCTGTTTCTAACAGTTTGGAACAGCAATACTCAGCCTTTATAACATTTTGTGCTATTGCTGTTTTCTTGTCCTTTTGCTCTTTACTCTTGCCTTGGTAAAGTTTACTACCTTTTACTTTGTACACTGCTAAAGCATCTCTCTTTCAGTTTTGTTTTCCTGTTAGTCATCCTGCTTAAAATGTTTATTAGAAGTTGCAAATTTGTCTGTCCTCTGCTTAAAACTTCAAATGATTTCCTATTGATTGAATCTCAGATTTTGTGTGTATAAAGTATAAAGATTAACTGAATGTAGACACTTAGACCTTATCTTAAAATTCTTATTCAGTTTTGTTCTGGAGTGTGGGTTCATGAAATTGCATTGTGAACATACTTATGAAATGTAAGATGTAGTAGTCTTTTGACTATATGTTAAGGAACTTTATTGGACATAATGTTCTCCATAATATAATAGTTAAATACTATATATAATAATATGTTATGATTTTACATATTATTTAATTTCGGTCTTAATTCTTACACTTTTTCTAAGTATAAGCTCTTGGCTGTTCTGTCCTCCAGATATTTACTTAAACTGTTGCTTTTGCTTATGACGTCCTCTCAATCCACTTTGCCTACGTGACTATCGCTTATCTTTTGTTGTTAGCTCAGGAGTTTCCTTTCTAAGTCTAAGGTGATTTTTGTTTCCAGTTGCCTAGAAAGCCCTAGTTTATATCTCTTGTCCCAATAATTATTGATTTTGAATTCTAAGATATAATCATCAATTATATGTTTTTCATCTTTTTATGATCAGTACCTATCTTATAGTAGTATTTAGTAAATGTGAATATTATAGTAGTATTCAGTAAATGTTATGAAAAGGTATTCAATAAATATTTTAGAGAGCTTTTCATTAAATTGATAGTAAAAGAGCTGCAGAATAATTTCTTAGATGTCATATGGCAGGGTAGGTAATGATCCTAGCTTAGTGGCTTTTCTTTATCATGTTGCATTTATTTACCACTTTTTAGATCCTGTTTATTTATTTTATAAATTAACTCAACAGCATTAATGAAGTCCAAAATCTTTCATTTTATCTTATGTGAAAATTATAAGAAAATTATATGCTTTGTTGGCAAAGAAAATGAAATATAGTTTTATAGCCTAACGTTAGTTGATGTGTTAAAAGATTTACACATTTTTCTTCTAATTATGTGTGTTCTTTTTTAGAATAACTCATGATGTAGAAGACATTCCAATAGTTTAAGATACAGCTTGATAAATTATCACCCCTGAATGTCTGCCTGTTTTGGAAAAAATTCTTATTGAGACACAGTTGCACCTATTCATTTACATATTTTTCTCAACTGTTTTCACCCTATAATAGCAGAGTTCAGTAGCTGTGACAGAGACCACATGGCTCATAATCCTAAAACATTTACAGTTTATAGAAAAAAGTTGCCAACCTCTGTAAGAGAATATAAAGGCTGATAATTATAATGTGATAAAAAATATAATAACTAATAGTTATTAAGACTTACTGTACATTATGTAATATCCTAAATTTTACATACATAAAATTTATATATAAATAAAAAATACAAAAAACAATAACACACACATATATTTCATCCTCATAGCAGCTTGATGATTTAAGTGCTAATATTCAGGGCTGCCATATATGGTAATAAGGGTTTTACACACAAGCATATGGCTTGGGATTAAGTGGGAGTTAAAATTTAGTGTATGTTTATACTTATTAAACTGCATGCCATGCTGCAGAATTGTGTCTAATAGGAGGGAAGAATATTCCCCCTGCCTCACCACATAGGCATAGTCACTAACCACTTATGACCTCACAAGAATGCATAATATCCAGAGGAAGACACTAAAATAGTCGATCTTTTCTACAAAACTACTGTAGTTTTATTCAGTGGAAGGTACAATTTTAGTAATCTGCACAAAGGAACTATAAAAGCAAACTAGGTGTGATCTTGCTGGTATGTTTCTCACTTATGGCTGAGGAAACTGAGGCATAGATTAAATTATTTGCCTAAAATAACACAGTAAATGGCACAGCTAGATTTGAATCTAGGCAGACTGGTTCTTTCATACATACTGAATGTCACAGTCTTTTAGCCAAGTCTTATGGGATTATTGTCAGTGATAGTAAAAATGTCAATTTCTAGGTGAGAACTGCAGTTCCTAGTATTAATAACATTCTAAGTATATACACTGTGAATAGTATAGTCATATCATGGGACTAGCTAGTGTCTTGAACTCTTTCCTCATCAAAAATGTTTACATGGCATTTGAAAAAATTTTATGTCTGGAATAAATTTTGGATGTAGTAATGGAGCCAGTGGAAGAGTATAAATATGGGTTTCTGGAATTGAATGATAGAAAAACTCATATCTTCAATATTTCTCTACTATTTTTTACATAGTCTATCATTATCCTCTTCTTAATTGATATGGTAGAAAATTATTTGTTTCCATAGTAAATATTTTAGAGCATAAAACAAGTGATATTAAAAATTTGCAATGCATGAAGTAAGTGTACATGTTTGGATGTGTGCAGTTTGCAATTAAAAAAATATATCTATTTTTGACTTGACTTTTTGACTCTTCCTACAAGGACATGGTGGAAATGGTTTTTTGAAATTTCAAGATTCTGAAGAAATTACCAACATAGAACTTGCAGATGCTTTTGAACAAATGTGGCAGAAAAGACGGTAATTAGAAAATGATTTCTTTTCATAAAATAAATTAATACCTAAATACCTATTTTTTTATGATAGATTCCTAGTTCTTATTTAATAAATTTTACCTTACTTTGATCTTTTCTTCCATATTTAAAATTTGTTTGTTATACATTAAACTGTGTTTTTTAAAGGAAAAACTCAAGGGTTATTACTTAACATGAAAAAAATCGATGTTTTAAAATTAACTCTCCTGTAATTTAGCATCCTTTTTGGGGGAGAGTCCTTTGTAAGCATTCTTTTATTTGAGAATTGTTGTATATATGAGCTTACGTGAACTCAGAGTAAACAATAGAACTGCTTTTAGCTTGATTGCACTTATGGGTTACCTTCTGTACACATGGCACAAAGGGAAATATGATGCTTATTCTGCCTTCAAAGTGTTTAAAATCTAACATAAGAGAGAAATGTATACATAAGCATACTACAAAAATTATCACTTTTGAAATATAAACAGAATGTATGGAAGTATTGAAGAGGAAATTTTATTTGGTACTGGTTGTTTTATCTAGTGCTTAAATTTATTGCATATTAGGTACTGGACACTGTGTTTTTCATGAATTATCTTAATTTCAGTAGCAACTCTGTGAGATAAGTACTATTATTTTCCAGTTTTTAACAAATGAGTAAGCTGAGGCACAGATAGGTTAAGTAACTCACTAAACTTTATGCAGCTGATAGTGCCAGAGCTAGGATTTATGCCCAAGTGGTCTGATCACAGAGCTTGCTTTTAGTTATTTTACTATACTGCCTTAATAATTTCAGAGGTTTCTGATCCTGCACAAATATTGTCGCAGAACAAATATGTCATATTAATTGTATCTTCTGTCATTCTCTTTGACTTTGTGGTTCAAGATTCTATATATCCTTTTCTAGGAGCATTATTAGCTGTTTACTCAGACCAAATGTCTGAGGAAAACTTCCACCAAAACCTATCTACCTCTTACTTTCACCTTCACCAGTTATCTACATTTTTTTAAAAAAGAGATTTGATTGTGTTATTCTTTCACTTAACAACAAAACAAAAGAGAATAAAATACCACTTTGGTGGCTTCCTCAAATATACAGAATCTTATTGAAAGAGACTATGGTATCTTTACAAATTGACCCTACCCCACCTTTTTAACAACCAGCTTCTCTGCAATACCTCAAATTTACTCTTTCTAAATTTTTACATTGTTTTTGTTCACATTAGGTGCTTTTTATTCTGTTGGAATCTGTTCTTTCCCTAAGAGATAAAATAATGCTCACCCTTCATTGCCCATGCCAGGTATCACATTTCTGTGAACCTTTTCTTTTCAGCTCCCTCTATTCCTTTCACAGTGCTCATAGAGTACTTTGCTTTGTTAGACTGTAAACTCTTTGAGGTCAGGGGTTTTTGTATCCCCAGCGTAATGTCAGGGACATTGTAGATGCAATATATGTTTGTAACACTTACCTCATTTCAATTTAGTTTTATTTTAAGCTCTTTGAGTATGGTGACTAAGTCACCTTCCTCTTCCCCACACATTTTTTTTTTTTTTTTCTGAACCTCGTTCAGTTTCTAGGACAGTGCCAAATTAGTGGTTGTTGAGTTGAATATTCACTTGGTTCTGAATAATGTGACATTGACAAGGGAGAAGAACTTAAGTTGAGGCACAACTACTACCTGTTCAGGTGGTTTCCCTGCATAGGATTATACCTTTAACTTTTCAAATGATAAATTTCTATTGAAGACTCCACATTTTTAGTTAATGAAATAGCTAAGACAACACAAATATCTTATGTAATAGAAGTATTGTAAAAATATTATTGTATGATTAATACAGCATGATCTGTGACAAAAGATATTATCACTTTTCTTTCAGGTACAATGAGCTACTATTCATTATTGATACTTGTCAAGGAGCATCCATGTATGAACGATTTTATTCTCCTAACATAATGGCTCTAGCTAGTAGCCAAGTCGGAGAAGATTCACTCTCAGTATGTATATTTTCCCAATTTGTAAATGATACTGTTTTTGGAATGTGTAACTATTTCTGAAATCACTTGAATAGTTTTAGAATATTCCTATTATTTTTCATTCTTATACTTTTTAACACAGAGGAAATTTTAATTATATTTTAAGCATTTTGTTACAATGATGCTGTTGGACAATATGCTTTTTTTTTTCTCTTTTCATAGCATCAACCTGATCCTGCAATTGGAGTCCATCTTATGGACAGGTATACATTTTATGTATTGGAATTTTTGGAAGAAATTAATCCAGCTAGTGAAACTAGTATGTATGACCTTGTAAGTATGCCTTTGATTTGATTATAACACGTAGGTATGTTAATGTGATAAATGAAGTTGATTATTCTTTGGAACCCTCTGGATTAGTGTTTCTAATGTTGAATTATGGCCTGTTAAATTGTTTTGAATCTTCCTTCCTATTAGTATCTTTCTCTTTATCACAAAAGATCCAAAGCTTCAGCCTAGTTAACTTGCTATTCCTGAGGTATTTCCCTGTTTTCATTGGTTTACTCATTCTCTTTTCCCTATCAGAAATGTAATTTTTTAAAGATTAATCTTTTGAAATTCTATCTATTCTTCTGGGGTCAAATCAGACGTATCTTCTCTAAGACGTCTATTCAAATGCTTTCTTTTGGAATTTTTTTTTACCTTTTCAGAATTTCCATAGAATTTTATTTATTTTGTGACCATTATTACGGTTTTTCTTTTTTAAATTTATTTCATTATTTTTTAATTTAATTTTGTTTATTTATTTTTTTATGTGGTGCTGAGGATCAAACCCAATGCCTCACACATGCTAGGCTAGTATTCTAACACTGAGCCCCAGCCCCGGCCCCAGCCCTACATTTTATCTTTTTTTTTTTTAATGTAAATTTTTAAAATTTATATATGAGAGCAGAATGCATTACAATTCTTATTACATATAAAGAGCACATTTTTTCATATCTCTGGTTGTATACATAGTATATTTACACCAATTCGTGTCTTTATACATGTACTTTGGATAATAATGATCATCACATTCCACCATCATTAATTACCCCATGCCCCCTCCCTTTCCCTACAGTTTATCTTTTATTGACCAGCGTGAAAGCCTTTCTATTTAATGGGAAACTCCTAAATGAAAGGAACCTTTGTTATCTATTTTTATGTGCCCTACAACTTCTGCTATAATCTTTTGACATCATTTGTTGAATTTCACTCAAAAATCTTTCAGACTTTTCTGTGCTGATTATGTATTTTTAATTAAATGAACTTTAAGTTGCTTTTGAAAAGCAGGAATAATAAAAGCTTGAAACAATTCTAGGCTGAATAAATTACTGTGTGTAAATGACTTTCTCTTCTTGTTTCTTTTAACTTATACCTTCCTCATTTACTCACAAACATTTGAGTGCTTACTAAGTGCTAATCAGTGGCTATTCCCCAATGAATAGGCATACACTGTTCCTGCTTTTGTGGAGTTTAGGAACGGAGACTGAGTAGGCAGGCTCCCTCTTATCCACATCAGCCCAGCACCTTTGCATTGATCTTTTTAATTATATAGAAACACATTCTTTGGTAAATTTTCTTTTACAAAGGGGGTTCTGCAGTAAAATTCTGAAAACGACTGCTATAGCCTATCAAATTTAATAGAATTATTTACTTCAGTTTTAAGATTATATATTTTGATGCCTGTTAAGTCTTGATTTGAATTTTAAAACAAAACTTATGACAATGATGCTTTAATTTCAATAAATAATAATTACCTAAATTCCAGTTACTTTAAAAGTTTAGTCTTGCTTTTGGATTCTACATTGTATACTTTATATAATTCTTGACGTATTCTCAAAAGTGTAAAATATATGAACTTTATATTTTAAATGTCTAATGCATTTAAAAAGTACTTCTTCCATTGAAATTCTGTGGGAGTGAGGAAACTATTTTTTTAATTGTTCACAATTGTGATTTATTTTTAAATAAACATTCCTTGCTAATATCTGATCTTTCCCTTTTACCTCTGTTAAAAAAAAAAAAACACTATATATTTTTGGTACTGGGGATTGAATCTAGGATCTAAGCACTCCATTACTGAGGTACAACCTCTACCCCCTCCTTTTTTTTTTTTTTTGTTTTGAGATGGTGTTGCTGTGTGAAACTCTACATCCTCCTGCATTAACCTCCTGAGTAGCAGGGACTGTAGGCATGCACAAATATGCCCAGTTCCATTTTAAAATTTAATGATAACTTTTTTAATCTTAATTCAATCAGAATGGCCCATATTGTTGCAGTATACTAGTACAGTGATTTGACATATCTCTATATCATTTTTGTAATAATAGTTATTTTTTATTGGATTATATGTATGCAGTAAAATTTACTGAGAATCAGCTGCATTCTGAGTACCATATATATTGGGTGTTTCAGTAACCACAAAATTAGAGGGCTTGGTGTGTAGCCCCTAAATGTCATAGAAAGCAGTTAGCACATTTATAAATTGTTACCTGTTATATGAAGTCTCTGAACCCTCTAGGTAATATTCCTTTGTGAATATATAACTCCTGCATATGCTTTTATTATACTTTTATTGTTACAATATCAATGTTTAGATTTGTGATGTACCCTTCTGCACAAGAAAGTGTTTTCTTTTTTGTTAATTTTTCAACTTTTTAAGTTATTATTAATTTTTTGGTACCAGGGATTGAACTCAGGGGCACTAGATCACTGAGCCACATCCCCAGCCCTATTTTTTTGTATTTTATTAGAGACAGGGTCTCAGTGAGTTGCTTAGCATTTCGCTGAATTGCTGAGGCTGGCTTTGAACTCGTGATCCTCCTGCTTCCGCCTCCCGAGGTGCTGGGATTACAGGTGTGCACCACCATGACTGGCTTTAAATTAATTTTTAATTGGCACAATATATGCAATAGTGGGATACCTTATGATATAATTATACATGCACATAACATAATTTGGTCAGTTTCATTCCCCAATACCTCCACTTTGGGTCTAACCTTCTTAAATAAAAGATGTAAGGACTATGCTTTATGCATCTTAATAACCACTTAACTTGATTATGTACCTGGTCTATTTGTAGATGCTCATTGAATATTTATTGAATGAATGAATGAATAAACATAACAGCAGTGTACATGTATATAGTTCTTTTAAATACATTTTTTCTTGGAGGAGGTAAATTTTTAAGTTTGAAGGGAAAGAAATATAGCACACTTTAGGGAAATGGAATACTTGCAGATGGACAAAAGTTGCAATAACAGGTGATTCTTCAATAGTAAACATATAGCCTGTCTGGAGTATGGAGATTCTGTTAGTAAGGAGGATTATTGAAAATTAAACTTAGTAATGTAGGATTTGTGGTCTCTATTGTAGAGGTTAAGGAAATCAGATTGATATGAGAAACATTCTTGAAGGGAAGAATGACTTCATAATAAGTGGAAGTATATTTATTTTAGTATCAAACAGTATGGTAATACTTCTCAGTGTTTCTCAAGCTCATTTGACTACTTTTTCTGTTTTGTTCTGCTGGGGTACCTAATAAAGCCTATCAAATTGCTTTCACAGGAATGCTCTCAGAGGCATTCAGTATACCTGGGGCTTCAGTCTTATCTCTGTTTATTTTATCTTTTGTTTATTCAACCTTTCATGTGTTGTGTCCTTCCTGTTGGACATTTCACCTGCCACAGTCTGGCTGGGCACAAATGCCGCAGTCTGGCTGGGCACACAATCATGAGCCACCACACAGCTTGTAGATTCAAACAGCAACTCTTTATTCCCGAACTCACACCAGCCGTCTACAATCACGTTCTGGGGAAATCCACGTTCTCTGCCCAAATTCACCTCCACTGGGCTTCTGTCTCCCAAAATATACTGTCTAAATCCCGTGAGAACTCAAGGGGAACTCAGGCAGCAGGATACGCCCTATTCCCAGCAGGAATAATCTTAAACCTTAAACCTGGAACCTAAACCGGGAACACCCTAATCCGCCTTGGTCCTTGAGCAAGGTCGCCTACATTCAGTGTCACTGCAACATGGGGTACGCTGGCAAGGAAATTGTCATACCTACTTGGCTAATGGCTCCCAGCATTCACCTTTTTGAGCTTCTTTCTTTTTCCCTTCCTTTGCTTTTAATTTATGTCTTATTTCCTTCTTTGTATTTATTTTGTATTTTCCTTTTCTGAACAGGGAAGGCAAAGATTACTGATAATGTGATGTTAGTTAAATTGCTTAATCTCATTGAGCCTTAGTTTAAAGTGGAGATGTATACTCAGAGCTATTAGTAGGCTTAAATGAGAGTCTTTTCAAATTGCTTATCACGTTTCTTGGAACACTTGTGTTTCATAAACTTGATGCTCAGTTCTTCCCCACCTCTTTCCCTTCCTATTGGTAATTACCTATGCAGCTGGTCTTGTCTTCACAGGTGGGAGGTGCTGTGGGCCTGAGTACTTATTGGTAGGCTTGTGATTGTTTCTTTCCTATACCCTGTGCTTCAGCCAAAATAGATTGTTTTATGCATCTCTGCACTGCTCCTATATTTTCCTTTCTATAAAGACTACTTTTTCAAACATAGCTTAATTCTCACAATATCTTTTTTTCTCTTCCTCAAACTATAAGAAATTCATCTTTTTCTGAAGTAAAACCTGTCATTTTCCCTACCCTGTTATGTTTTATTTATCTCTAACCTAAGACATAAAGCCTTTACAGGAAATTTTATCATTCTTTGAATTCTCTATGGAAGGTAACAGTGGGAACTCTATGAAACAGATACTTTTTATGCTTTGCAGAATGGAATAATTTGTGTCTGTTCTTGATAATTCACTGATGTTGAATATCAGATATAAGATTAACACAGAAATTTTTGTGGCATCTGTATAAGTGGTGAACCATTTATAATGGTTTTCACATTATATTCTTTGGAACAGTAGAGTGGCTGTAGAGGTGTTTTGGGTTTATTTTCATCATTGATAAACAAAATTAATTGATTTATAAAATGGTACAAAATTGCACAGCAAGAGCAAGGGGTTAGGTATTGGGGAGGTTATATGTCACCTACTTGAAACCCAGACTTTCTCCACTTAAATCTTTTTTTTTTTTTAATGTACTTGGCTATCATGTTACATTTTATTTGAACTTTGAGTCTAGGGTCATGATTTCAAAATGTCTGAAAACCATTCAGGTAGAGAGAGTACCCTTCTGAAGTGGACTTAGATATACACAAACAAAAAATTCTGTTTTTTCATTGTTCTGATGTCTATATATCTGTATAGTTGTTATTTTAGAATATCAAATATTATAATAGGAATGAGACATTTATTTTTCCCCCTGAAACTAGAGATTGTACTAGGGGTACACTGAGCTACATTCCCATTCCTTTTTATTTTGAGACAAGGTCTTGAATTTGAACTGGCCTTAAACTTGCCATCCTCCAGCCTCAGCCTCTTAAATTGATGGGATTATAGATAGGAGTGCCCAATGAGACTTTAATCTTTAGAACCAGTAGCCTCTTTATATTTGGGGATCTTTTTTTTTTTTTTATACCAGGGATTGAACCCAGGGGCCTTAACCACTGAATCACCTCCTCAGCCCTTTTTATTTTATATTTTGAGATGGGGTCTCACTAAGTTGCTTAGGGTCTTGGTAAGTTGTTGAGGCTGGCTTTGAACTTGTGATCCTCCTGCCTCAGCCTCCTGAGCCAATAGGATTATAGGCATATGCCACCATGCCTGGCTTGGAGAGTTTTAAAGATACATTACAGTTTTCTATATTGTGTCACTGGATTTAATAAAAGTTGTATGTATATATGTGCATGTGTGTATTTATTAGTATTTTTTTTCCTAGTTTCAGGTATGTCCCAAAAGTCTCTGTGTTTCTACTCCTGGACATCGTACTGATCTTTTTCAGAGGGATCCTAAAAATGTCCTGATAACTGATTTTTTTGGGAGTGTACGGAAAGTGGAAATTACAACAGAAACTATTGGTTTGCAACAGGATTCAGAAATCATGGAAAGCAGGTATTCATCTAATATTGTTATTTGAATAGTCTATTCTCATAATTTGTAAATTTTTATGAAACACATCAAGAGATAAAAGTTAGTGTTTGTCTGTAGTTTCACATTTCTACCCAATATTCATTTTATATAGGCCACATGCTTTACAGATTTATTAACAAAAACTTAATAATAAATATTAGTGGAAAGTTATGATTATGATTAAGATTATGTTGGCATTTTAAAATGCAGTGTTGGTAGTAATGCAGTGTGAGACTTGCTAAGACCTAAAACTTTGCCCCTAACTGGCCATTATAGAACTATACTTTTCACTTTATTGGAACTCTTGGTAATTCATTAGGGAGAGGCATAAGAGAGCTATAAGCCAGATACTTCCTTTTTGAGGAGTGGATTGTTGTGCATGTATATTTGTGTGAGACAGGTTGAAAGAAATTGGTTAACTTTGGGTAAATTAATTTTAGAAATATTTATAATGTTCTTTTTTTCCTGGAAGGCAAAAATATCTCATTAAAATTAAATAATGGCTTGATTAATAGCCACTTTCTTGAAATATGTAACAATATATTTTGTTAGCTGTATAACTTAATTTGTTATTGTCTAATGCTATTGTCTCATGATATCATACTCTAGGGAACTTCCCTGGCTTGTTAAATGGCAACATATAAAATTCTCACAGTTTTGAACATTTCAGAGATTTCTAGTTGAACTTAGAATGTGGTAGGAATAAATCCAGAAACTAGCACAAAATACTTATTTATTTATGAATATTTAGAATTGATATTGCTACCTGTTCTAGGTATTCAAAATCTTATATTTTTTCTTTCCCAATTTCCTATTGCTATAGTCTTAAAAAAGGTGTTAAGGCAGTAGATTAAAATCCTACAGCAATATTTATTACCTTTATTTTTTGTTTAAATAACAGCTTTCAAATTGCCTCTGTAAAAATGGCTAAACTGTACTTTAACAAATGAGTATTATGTCTTTTACTACATTCATTCTATAATTCTCCTTGAACTTGATCCTATAAAAGATAATATTTGCCCTTGCCCTTCTCTGAACCATCCGAACATTGAATTAATCTCCTTTATAGGCAAGGACCATCTTTTTACTGCTTTACTTATTTTCTGTTCTCTCAACATACAATATTAAATATATAGTGATTGGACAATAAAAAATTGTTACACTGGAATTCTGTTGTATGTTCTGGAAGAATGGAAATTTGCCTCTTCAGTTTTCTCTATGTATTAATTTGAAAGCAAAAATTGTTAGTGCTGAAGAGATCTTAATTTATTCTTGTGGAAAATATTTTAAGCTTTAAAGCCAGACAGCAAGCATTGTTGAATTAGAGCACCCTCTAGTGTTTGTAGATGAATTTTATTTAGGTTGTTTACCAGGTAGTTTCATAACTCCTAAGCTGGATCTGGTGGCATGGGCCTGTAATCTTAGCCATTCCCAAGCTCAGGCAGGAGGAGTGTTGTAGTCTAGGCATTAGGGGTAATAGGACAATATAAGAGACTCCATTTTTTAAAACAAATTTACTTGTATACTTTATTCAACTAATGTATGAGAATTTAGTTCTCATTGTGCTCCCAGGAATTTTTTACATGAATGTTACAGATATTATCTCATTGTATAAAGGTTCTATTTACATGTATTTATGAATGACAATTGGAAGTTCTTTTAATAATCTTTTTTCCCCTACCCTTTTTATTGGTGCATTACAGTTGTACATAATGGTGGAATTTGTTGTTACATATTTGTATGTATACACAATATAACAATATAATTTGGTCAGTTTGGCTCCCCGGCACTTTGCCCTTCCCTTTCTACCTTTCACCTCCTGGTTGCTTTCCTCTGTTCTACTGATCTCCCTTTCATTTTAATGAGATCCCTTTCTCTCACCTTTCTTTTCCTTTTTTCTCTAGCTTCCACATATAAGAGAAAACATATGATCCATGACCTTTTGGAGTTTGGCTTATTTTGCTTAACATAATGTTCTTCATTTCCATTCATTTTCCTGCATGACATAATTTTACATTTCTTCGAAATGAATTTTAGGATTGTTTTTTTCTAGTTCTGGGAGGAATGTCATTTGTATTTTGATGGGATTTACATTGCATTTACAATGGATTACAAACAGTGTAATCCATTGTTTGACACTGGCCTTTAAAAAGATATTTTGTATATCTTGTTTTGATAGTATGGCCATTTTAACAATGTTAATTCTGCCTATCTGTGAACATGGAGGTTTTTCCATCTTGTGTGTTTTAAATTTCTTTCTTCAAAGTTTTATAGTTTTCATTGTAGAGTTCTTTTACCTCCTAGTTTAAACTTATTCCTATTGTGAATGGAATTGCTTTTCTGATTTCGTTCTCAGCAGAATTCATTGCTGGTTTATAGGAAAGGTATTGATTTTTGTATGTTGATTTTGTAGCCTGTTACTTTGCCAAATCTATTAGTTCTAGCAATCTTTTGGTGAAGTTTTTGGATCTTCTATAAAGGATCATATCATGTGCAAATAGTGATAATTTGACTTTTTTCTATTTTTATCCCTTTTATTTCCTTCTCTTGCCTAATTGCTCTTGCTAGAATTCCTAGTAGTATATTAAATAGGAGTAGTGAGGTAGGATATCCTTTTCTTTTTCCAGATTATAAAGAAAATGCTTTCAGTTTTTCCCCATTTATTATGCTTTGGGTTTTTCACATATAGCCTTTATGGTGCTGGGGTAGCTTACTTCTATCCCTAGATTCTTCAGTGTTTCTGTCTTGAATAGCTGTTGAATTTTGTTAAAGGCTTCCTTTACATGAAAGCTTATTTAGAGAACAGCATATTCACCAAAAATCAGATATCAACTATTTTGTTAAGGAAGTTATAGCCTAGAATGTTTATGTATTTTTTTCAAACTTTAGTTTGAAAATATCAATACAATATTGTTAAAATTGGTAGTTGTGCCTTAAAAATATTACTTCTACATATATTTTAAGGAAACAGTATAATCCATTGGTTGAAATTGGCTTTTTAAAAAATATTTTGTGTAATAGTCTAGTATATACTACTAATCAGATATGATAGAAGATATTAATACATAAAATTGACTGATGTAGTTTCATGGAATAAGAATTATTTTAGTATTACTGTTTTCTGAAACTTAGGTATATTGAGTAAAATAAAGTTTTAATGGTATAATGAACTTGGGATTGTGAATATCTCTGACAAACTTGAATTTCATTTCCTTTGGATATATAACCCAGAAGTGGTATTACTGTATTATTTGGTAGTTTTCTTTTTAATTTTTTTCAATTTGTTTTAGTTGTAGATGGACACAATACCTTTATTTAATTTATTTATTTTAATGTGGTGCTGAGGATCAAACCCAGTGCCTCACATATGCGAAGCAAGCACTCTGCCACTGAGCCACAACCTCAAGCCTTGTTTTTAATTTTTTGAGAAACTTCATACTATTTTCTGTAATAGTTGTACTAATTTACATACCCACCAACAGTGCATAAGAATTTCCTTTTATCTATATCTTTGCATTTTTGATAGTAATCATTTTAACAGGTGTGAAGTATCATTTCATTGTGTCTTTAATTTGTACTTCCCTGATGATTATGATGTTGAGCATTTTTTCATATGCCTGTTGGCCATTTATATGTTTTTGAAATATGTCTGTTTAGATTCTTTACTCATTTTTTGATTGGGTGATTTTTAACTATTGAGTTATTTGAGTTATATATTTTGGACATTAACCTTTTATCAGATATATGGTTTACAAGTATTTTCTTTCATTCTGTAGGTAGTCTCATTGCAGTATTGATTTTCTTTCTCTCTCTCTCTCTCTCTTTTTTTCCTATGTGATATTGAGGATCAAACCCAGTGCCTCACACATGCTAAGCGAGCACTCTACCACTGAGTTACAACCCCAGTCCCTCTATTGATTGTCTTCTTTGCTGTGTAGAAGCTATGTAATTTGATGCAGTTCATTTTCCTGTTTTTGCTTTCTGTTGCCAGTGCTTTTGTGATCATATTCAAGAAATCATTGCCAAAACCAGTGTCAAAATGTTTTTGTTGTTGTTGTTTTGTTTTAATTCTTCTAGTAGTTTTGCAGTTCTAAGTCTTTAAGTCTTTAACCTATTTTAAGTTGACTTTGGTATTTGGAATGAGCTAAGGTTTCAGTTTCATTTTTCTGCATGTGGATATCTAATTTTCCCACCACTACTTATTGAAGGCACTGTCTTTTCCTCTGTGTTCTTGTTACCTTTGTTGAAGATTAGTTGATTTTATAAGAGTATGGATTTATTTCTGAGATTTCTCTTGTGTTCCATTGGTTTGTGTATCTGTTTTTCCACCAGTACCATGTTACTTTGTAATTTATTTTAAAAACAGCCATTGTAATGTTCACAGCTGTGTTCTTTTAGCTCAAGATTGCCTTGGTTACTGTTATTATTGCTGCCTTGGTTGTTTGGAGGGTCTTTGTGGTTTCATACAAATTTTAATATGATTTTTCTATTTCCGTGAAAAACATTATTGGAATTTTGATACAGATTGCATTGAATATTTAGATTGCTTTAGATAGTGTTGACATTTTAACATCTTTCTCAAATTCATGAATGTGGGATGTTTTCATTTATATATATCTTCAATTTCTTTCATCTTTGTTTTACAGTTTTCAGTGTGCAGATCTTTCACTTTCTTGGTGAAATTTATTCCCAAGTATTTTATTTATGTTTTATACTTTTGTAGATGAGATCAATTTCTTGACTTTCTTTTCGGATGTTCATTGATAGTGTTATGGAGATTTACATCTCCTCTGTTCATGATAAAGCCCAAAGAATAAATTGCTCATTGCCCATTCTAAATTTTACAAAAGACTTTGTGATCAACTCAGCTCGTTCAAGTGCCCACCTCTAGTCCAACTGGGAAGTAATAAGAATCATATAACACAAAAAATATGACTGCTTGGGACCTATTCCATGTGAGTAAAGTGAACTCCCAGAAGTTA